TGAAACGAAGCAAAACTTAAACAACTTACATTGAAAGAAATGTTTAATAAAGTAAACAAATAAATATTAAGCTTTTTCTTTTTGCAAATTTTGATACCCTTTAGATCATAATTGTTCTTCTTTATTTCATAAATTACAGTTTCATATTTTTAATTTTAGAATTTCTGCATACCATCTTACGAGATTTAAACTGATGATCTATAATCCGGAAAAATTGATAATCCGGAATCGCCAAAGTCCCGACGAGTCCGGATTAACGACTTTTGACTGTAGTACATTTATTACAATATATATACCTGGAAGACCAGAAATGATCTTAATTGATTTAGGCACAAAATACCTTTGACTGGTGTTTGAATCGATTACCAAATCCTTGGATATTAAATTATCACACTGTATTCCTCAAAGACCTGAGTATAATGCACAAAATGAACGTGCCAATGCCTGCATCAAGAGCTCTTTGCTTATACTTCATAAAAAAGAAATTCCATTTGAAAATGCATTGCTTATCAAAATATTTGCAATGGTACTGTTCATCCTTCAACTGGTTATTCTCCTAATATTCTGCATTTTGGAAGAAATTCATCATTACCTTTTAATATGTTTAATCCTGATCCAAGGCCAGTCAGTTGGATAAATCACATTATTTGCAAAATGAAATTTTTGTACAGCCCCAGTTACACTTAATTAGATAAATCACGTACAGGACGAAGAAACAATACAAACCGTTATAATCACATCATACCAGGAAATGTTGAAATCAAATACATATGCACTTGTATATGTTAGGCACAATGTTGTTGAATCTCGAAATGATATTTAAGGGTGATCAAGCATTAAACTAATGATTATGCTCACACAATCGAGAAATCAACAAAAGATGCATAACAATAAATTTCAAACAATATTAATTAAACATATTGCATAACTTGTAATAATGTTGAATAATAGTACAAAAAATGAGTGAAAGAAATAAGTGTACTGTCTATTTCTAAGATCATATTGATGTATAACTTGAGGAGAAGTGGGAGATAGCTAAAACACAGCTAAAACTAAGTTATGGGCATGTCTATGAGATGTTGGAATAAAGCAAATAGAACTGAATACTTGTCAAATGAAAAATGCCATATTAAGATCATTCAATGTTAATGATATAGTGTATTTGAAATCTAAAGTTACATTCCAGCATAGGTTTTCGAAAACTTTTTGTGTTATTTCTTCTATTATGTTATTTCTGCACTTGATAATGATTTTTTCTCAACCATTTAGAATTTCTCCGCCATCAATTGCCTTTGTTTGGCTCTTAAAAGATTCTCCCACTAGGTTCAACATCTATCTCCCACTTCTCAAGTTATACATCAATATGATCTTAGAAATAGACAGTACACTTATTTCTTTCACTCATTTTTGTACTATTATTCAACATTATTACAAGTTATGCAATATGTTTAATTAATATTGTTTGAAATTTATTGTTATGCGTCTTTTGTTGATTTCTCGATTGTGTGAGCATAATCATTAGTTTAAGGCTTGATCACCCTTAAATATCATTTCGAGATTCAACAACATTGTGCCTAACATATATCATAATCAATAGTTTAAGGCTTGATCACCCTTAAATATCATTTCGAGATTCAACAATATTGTGCCTAACATATACAAGTGCATATGTATTTAATTTCAACATTTCCTGGTATAATGTGATTATAATGATTTGTATTGTTTCTTAGTCCTGTACGTGATTTATCTAATTAAGTGTAACTGGGGCTGTACAAAAATTTCATTTTGCTTTACCATAGAAACTCTTTATTTACAATTCTGTACTATGTACTTGCAATACAGTATATTAGAAAATTTTACGTACCATATTAATATCATGCACTTATATGTATTTTGCATAAAAATTTGCTTATGTGAAGACTGAGTTAATATATAAATATATTTTTTGTATTGAATTATGGAATATTTAAATAAGTGGTTCTATGTTCTATTGTTAGAAATTTTGTTTTTGGGTAGATGGCATGGTTTTGTGTGATACCTAAATGATAAATCTTCCAATTTAAAATATAATTTGTAATGTATCAGACTGTTAGCTCCATAGTGATTGTCTTGATTTTATATGAGGCTGGCACCATACCGGAATTTTTATTATGCACATAATTAATTTTTCCTTCTCCCCTCAAAAAGGGGTGAATATCTGATGAGATCACATTAAATTTATGTCCTTGGAATTATTACAGTCGTCTAAAAACAGATAAGGGATTTCATCTGGCGACAATATTTGACTGGCGAATACTGCACATCTTACTTACAATAATATGTTAATTAAAGATCTTGAAGAGACATTATTTAAATGTCTATTGTTTTCAGCATGCTGATATGAATCTTGAAAAATTGAAAATATTTCCTTTCCAACAGTTCAAATGAGAATAAATTGCAATTAAATGGGTTTTTTAAATAGTTTTCGATATGAATTCGAAACTGCTGCTGCTATAATTTTATAATAATTTTATAAAATTATATAGACATGTACACATTCAGCAGCAGTACTTTCTAAGCCACAAACAAAAAGAAAAGGTTGGATACACCAAACAATTTGCAGGCTATCTGCCTAAGGGTAAGGATACCTTCATTTCTAAGAGAAACTGGTTTGTACATGTTTCACGTGGAAAAACCAGGAAAATGCCCATGCAGCTAGCCTGTTGCCGGGATTCGAACCCAGTACCAAAGTGGCAGTGTTTGGTGACTTTTGCTACTCAACTGCTGGTGAGAAAGAACAAGGTGCTTGCAAATTGAATACAAATTCAACGAATCACTCTAGCCTCCTATAGCTCACCCCTGAGTGTAACAATATAAAACAATACTGTTAAGATTGTTTCAGAATTATTTATATAATCACTGTTACTTTTTATTGAATTTTTGTTATTTAACTGAACTTGTTTTTTTCACTTCGAGTCTTTAATCATTGAAAAAGAGATATTAAATTGAGAATAAAAAAGTAAATAATTACTGCAAGAGAAAACAGATTTTAGTTTTACATAGGTAATGATATTTTTTAAATACCGCAGCAAGCACACATTAGGGATTCTGATATTAAACTGGTAGTTTTGCAACAAATGTAATTAGACTCTATTAGTAAATAATCAGTTCAATAAATGAAAATAAAAAATAGGGGATCTTTTCCAGTAAAAGATAACACATGCACAACAGTTTTTTTTTTTTTTTTTTTTTTCAAAAAAGCTACATGTACCAATTTGAGACTTAACAGCGAGAAAATATCAACTCTTCATTACTGTGATAAAATATTTCTAAACATAGGAAATTCATCTTTTAGGCTATTGGAATGAGATAGAATTTTCCTCCTTTGGAGGAAAAGAGCACATGTACTTTTAAAATAAAAAAGATCTGCATTTTATTTTTGGTTAAAATACTGCATTTATTGGTTAGAAGTTAGTTCAAGCAGGACAAGATTAAAGATAGATTGAATTAGTTTCAGTATTTTTTTACGATTTATATTTAATTATGAATAATATACAGTTCAGCATAACCAAGTGTTCAGAATACTTAACTGAATTCAAATCCGAAATCAATTTTAAAATATTGTGAAATCAATTTGAAACATACTTCTCAAATAACAAAGATATAAAAATTTTTAATAGAAAACAATAAAAATATCAAAACTGACATCCGATTCATAAAAAAGAACAACTCATTATGATAGTAAAAAAAATTTACTGACTGAAGCAAAAAATTCTATAAGCTTCATTAAAATTTCGCTACAGTTTATATAAAGCTGTAACCTATTCTAATTAAATTTAACATATATACAGCAAGTATTATTACTAGCAATATGATTATTTTTCTAAGGGGAAGGGACTAAAAAATATCTTCATATTAATCATTCATAAAAAGTACTACAAGCCTTACAGCATTAAAGCTGTAAATTAGTTTTATAATTTGAGGAATCAAATGCAATCACTAGTGAGCAAAATATTGTAACGTTGATAATAACACAATTCATCACATTAAAAACATAAACATTTTTTCATCCGCAAGTAAGCTTAGCTGGCTGGCTACTCAATATATGTTTACATTTGGAACTGCTAAGATGGAAGTGCAGCGCCATCTAGTGGATACAACATTTTAGGACCCATTTTTCTACTAGGCAGTTTCCCCTCCTTCATTATTCTCCATGGTTTAGACACATAAAATATATTTTCTGTATTTCAAATTATTATTTGTTCCCATTATTTAAAATTTTCCCCAGTTATGTTTTATCACTGCATTATCAAACACTTACCATTATAACTACTTCATAACTTTATATTTATTATACAGAATAAAAACCAAGATTTGATTTCATTGGAACTTAGACAATTCTAGAAATTTCTGGAATTTAACAGTTTAAATCTAGCAAGATGACATGGTAACATTGGGGTTTCACTTATTTTTAGGCAACAGAGAAAAATGCTCATCCCCCCCCCCAAAAAAAAAGAGATGTAAAATGTAGCTGTGACCAATATCAATCAATGCCATAGTATGATTCTCTAGGCAGCAGGTGTTTGGCACATGCAGAAATCTCAGTCTGTCAGGAGAAAATTAAATTTATGGCACACCTACTTCTTTTTGTTGAGCATTATAGTCTCCAGTTCTAAACTTTGTAAAGTCTTCCCCATTTCCCTTTCTCTCCCCCTTTTTTGTGCTGGTAATCTAGAAGTTTGGATATTGGACATCTGGATTACGGACTTTGTACTGAAGCATTTCAATATTTTTCTTCAACTTTTATCAAAAGCAAGGTTATTAGGTAAATCAATAATCATCAATATTAATACTCATGGTAAAATCAAAATTGTTTAAAATAGACGGTGATCACCTTAGAGAAAATTTGCTGCACTTTTTACTAATAGTTCCAAATATTTGAACTCAAGACACTTTATATTTAGATACAATTTTTTGATTAACGATATACAGCTTCTAAAAATAATTTAGTAAATACTTACTAGTTGTAACATGACAGCACTGACATTTGCAATAATGCTTTTATGAGTTAACATCACTCCTTTAGGACTTCCTGTTGTGCCACTTGTGTAGCAAACTGCAGCCAGTGTGTCTGGCTTAGGAGGCTGAAAATTTTTAAATACACGAATATTTTAAATACATTTATAAATTTTAAATACAAAAAATCTGAATAAATTACACTGGACTACAATTTATTAGTGTTCTCTTTGTTTTATGGTAAACACAGTCTAAATTTATCATGAAAAGGAAAAGCCATTCATCTATGATGATATTTTCATAATGAATTAATATCGTTGACAACTGTACAACAGACATTTCTTGAGATCTTAGTACAGCTAACATATTTCGTTATTTGTAATTTATTCTTCAAATCTAAGAAAGTTCAATAATTTCAAAATACTGTAAATACTGTTCAATAATACATAGTTGCAAGAAATGTTTACATTGATTTTTATATATTTCTATGCATGTTACCAACATGGGGAAATTAGATTCATTCAGGTAAAATATCACGTTTTCATTCATAATAAAAATATTTTATAAAGTTCACTTAATTATTATAAAACAGATGTACATATATTTTTAGTAATACATCTACTATAGGTCTGCATTTCAGATGACAAAAATACATGCGAAACAATAAAGAATGGATTGATTCATAGGATAAAGGTAAAATACCCAAACTGGATTCAACACTTAATGCACTTGCTATCAATTATTTAAAATTATTTAATTAGAATTCCATATTATACATGGAACAGTTTTTAATTATTACTAGTCCAAAAGGAATGTTAATTCCGGATGGGATATTAGTCTTAAAATGGTATTTTGTGTTGAATCGCTATATATATTTTGAACTCTGTATTTCATATCTTGTAAAGCTTTAATGAATTTCTGATTAGCAGACTCATTGATTACAAAGTCAGCAGTGGCAACATTATATAGAAAACATTTAAAAACATTTTTATCTCCAGCCTGTGAGACTGTCCACCAAAAATTCTAAAGTTATGCTGTTTTCAGACATTCTGTGATTTTGCTTTTGAATCGAATTTTGTGTGATATAAGCACCAAGAATGTGATATTTAATAACTAAAGTAAACACCAAATCATTAATAATAAGACAAAAAGTTTTATACAATCATCTCAGTAAGAAAACAGAACACTGATATGATGAACAGAGAAAAGACTGGGGGGAACAAAAACCCAGAAAAAAGTATGCCAACATTTAGCACTGCTTCAGGAATTCTAAATGTATACTACTATGCTGCTTTCAAATCTTTGTAATTTTGCTGTTGAATGGTATAAATGAGAATAAAATTATTCTTAATAATAAAGCTAAAAAGACAAAAAAAGGGAGTTAGTAGGAGTGAGTGTAACAGCAGAGTGGTAGACTGTGAGCTCAGTGAGTGTGAAAAGACCTAAGCAAACCCTTTGGGTGACTGTTAAAATCTGAAACCCTTCAGATATATTTATAAATTAATTAATAAACTGAAATTTGTAAAGAACATATTTAAAATAATAAACAAACCAATAGTATTTCAAAAATAGATGGAGTTGAAAATTTATAAATTCACTGTCTGCAACTTAAAATTAACTTTAACATTTTAATTAAAAGACACTAGCATACTCAGAACTATTAGAGTGAAATTCAAAATTAGCAAGGCTGCAGAAAAGTAATATTAAAATATGATTCATAGTAATTTTACTGCACAAACATTTTATTCATATCAGATTACAAGAGTTTATTATACGAAGGCCTAATAAATTACATTGAATTAAATAAATTATTAATTAATTAAAAATTCTTTTTTAAGCAAGCAGTGATAAAATAGATACTGCACTTTTCTCAAACAAATTTCAGCACTTAACAGTACTTCAAAGGAGATCAATACTAAAATTTGCTTTCATAGCACTAATCTTGAAGATGCTGTAGAAGGATTTAATGAAAAATTACATTAATTTTACTTGTAATTGTATACAAGACATTAAGCAAATAACTGCATTTGATACATCATTTAATGAGCAAGACTATTAAGGAAGCTAAACAATGGGCACTTTTCTGTTAACTGGGAGGCAATTTCCAAATGTGCACTGCCAAAGTGCATTTGAAGCACACTGAACATTACATATACTAACTGCTTGCATGGTAAACTGCCTAAAACAGCCATTATAAAAAGGAATAACATATAATGATCTTAATGCATTTCAGTTTAGTAAGATTTCAGGTAGGCAGCTAGTTAATTAATAATTATAAAAATGAAATGTGTCCATTTCTTTTAAACAATAAGTTAATAATAAATAATAGACAGATTAAATTTGAAAGAAAAATTTTTAATTATTTAATGAAGTGTAATTTATTAGCTTATGCATTCAAGAATGGTAACACACTGGCATATGGAAGATAAAAATGTTTTATTTTGGGCAATAGCAATACATTTCTTTTAAATTTATGATTTATTATTATTATTTATATTTGAAAGGGAAATAGCTTACAATTTCTGGGTGTCACTAGCACCCGAGTGATAAAGTTGCTAAGCACTGGTGGTTCGACCTAGGTTTGATACCAGGCGAACAGGCTGACTGCATTTGCATTTTTTTGGTTTTTTAACACATGTAACATGGATACAAGCTAGTTTCCCTTAGAAAATCTTTCATGAAGGCATCTCTCCCCTTATGCTATGAGCACTAGTGTGCTTCACCACAATGAAATAAATCAAACAAACTTATATTTTCTGAATGGCAACACATCTTTTAAAACACTGAGTTGTTTGATTAAATTTGAAACATAAATATTGTATAGTTTATCAAGTAAAAACACACTGCTTTTAAACTGCTGAATTTATTAATTAAAAATTCATTAAATTCACATAAAATATAAAATAAGTACTGAATAAATTCAAAATTTAGGCTTTGATGTGCACATGTTTGAAAGCAGGACTATGTGTGTTCAAAATGTGGTGGCTTTAGGTTCTGCTGTTTTTCTCCAGTGTAAGGAACATACATACAGTGGGTACCACTTAATAAAATTGCTGCTTTATAAAAATCGAACACTTATTAAAGTCAAAACCCCACTTATAAAAATCAAATCACTTCTGAAATTTTAAAGTCAAAACTCCAAGTTTGTATTTCAAGTTTAGTGATTTTGTTCAAAGTGAATTTACTTTCACACGGGTAGGTACAAATGCTAGAATTGTCATATCTGGATCAATCATGGGTGGCTGTGGGTTACAAGAGGTGTGTCAGAATTGGCTCAGCCCAGTTGGGTAAAAGGAAAAACATTAAAAAAAAGTGAGGTAGAATCTGTATAAAAAATAGTCTTTTTTGCTCATACAGTTTTTTCAGTTTACCCATCCACATTGTGCTTTTGTTGTTTGCTCGTGCCTGAAAATATCCAAACCCACGGACTTAAGCTTAAAAGATAAGGAAGAATTACCAGAAGACAAGGGTGACAATGAAGAAATGCATGATAAGACTTTCCTCGAATATTTGGGAATCGATGTAAATATCCAGACTTGTTATGGAAATAGTGATGCAGAGATCATCGAAGTTATCAGAGGAAACAAAGGAGTTAGTGAAAATGATCCTGAAAATGAAAATCCTGATGTTGTACACAGAGCAGTAGTCTCAACAAGCAATTGACAAAAATATCCAGACTTGCTATGAAAAGATTGATGCAGAGATCATCGAAGCTGTCTGAGAAAACAAAGGAATTTGTGAAAATAATCCCGAAGATAAAAATCCTTATGCTGTACGAACAGCAGCAGCCTTAACAAGCCTTAAATTTTGAGAAGAATGCTCGAACTTAAAGGCGGAGATGCAGAAAGATACAAGCAATATTGTGTCTTGAAGACCACCATTGAAGAGCTACTAACAAGAAATATGCAACAAACTCTAATGGATAAATTTTAAAATATTTGATATGCTTACATATCATATTGATCTGTGTAACATGTTGAAACAATTATAATTTTTTTGAATTAACATGGCTTTTGTCATCCATGGGAAGAAATAATGTACATTTTATATGAAAAATGTATATGCAAGTTACATATTAAGGATGGTATGCAAGGACAGAGAGATTCAGGTATGTGTACATTTCATTCCTAAAAATATTTATTAAAATCTTCTATAAATTTGCCTGTTTTTAAAAACTTTATTTTTATACTTCTCCCCCCTCCCCCCCCCAGAAATAAACTAAATCCTGAGTACAGCCCAACACCAAATATAAAACTCAACCGCTTTGTACAATCAAATAAGTTTACTACAGAAGACCAGAGACCATATTAAGCAGTACCCACTGTGCATACAGATTCCTCTCATTATTTAATAATGAAGATTATATTCATTATATATATAATATTTTTATGAAGCATTATATATTGTTAGGGTTGCAATAATCTAGTTAGATTTTGCAGCAATGTTTATATCTATCACTAAGTGGCACTCCATTATTAAAAAGGCACTGGAAAATTAAAGATAAAATCTGGAAGTCTGACTTCCTCTTTAGCTAATATAAAACCTTTCAGGAAGACTTTCATACTGACAGATTAAAAATGCCCTATATAGTGACTACTCACAAATGACATCTGGTGTTTAAATCTAAATCAAATGCCATTGAAGTGACCAACGATTAACACCTAATCAGTCATGACAGAGAGAGAATTTTATTTTAGTCAAATTATATGTCTTGGTTGTGGTTATTACGATAGTTAATGGTCAATTTCAGATAATTCTATAAGTGTCAAAATCAAAATAATAAAACTAAGTACATTTATATATATATATAATAAATTAAACATACTTACAGTCATGTTTTGAGGATTAGCTTTCCCCAGGTCCTGAAAAATTAAAATTTAACTGGTAAATTGTTCACCTTAACAACACATAAAAAAATCTTCATCTCTAAAAGTGCATTTATTCCTCATTCAGTTACTAAAAGATATATTATTTGAGATTTCTTTAAGGTTTACTCAGCATTAATTTTAAGGTGTGCAATGCTTAACTTCTATTAAAACCTAACACATTTTCAGAAAACAAAATGACTAATTACTTCATTTCAATCCTAAAACTAATAGTTTATTTAGAAAAATTCAAAACTGAACCAAATTCAAATAAAAACTGAAAATATAAATCAAAATGTTTAACTTCCAAGGTAACTAAGTTTAATCAGACCTAACATATACTTTAAGCTAATTCTTCTAATGGGGATGCAGTTGTTAAAATTGCAAGTATAAATAGAATTTTCATAATCAAGAGAGAAATTATATTCAGCAATTTAAAAACAATAGCTTATTGGCAAATTTAGTGAATTGTATTAAGAACATAACAATAGCTTTCCATTTCATTCATTTATTTTTATGACACAAGGTGGTGCAATTCTGTTACGTGAATATTTCACTCAGTTGCATAATGAGGAAAGTTAATGTGTTTTGTGCATATGACAACAGTGATAGTGATTCCACTAATACCTTCTTATCAAAATACAAATTGAAAGAAGACATTTTTAAAATTGTGGAATACTGAATAGTGACTGAGAACTTCCTATGACATGCAATAGAAAATTTTATGTCTCAAAACGTCAAAACATCTCTGGTTACATGGATTGCAAATGCCTTGGTAACAGTCCAAAAAAAATTAGAAAGCAAAACAAGATCAATGTATAAACACACAAAAATTGCAAAACACAAAATAATAGTCACCATAGTAATTACAGTCAAAAGTCGTTAATCCGGACTTGTCGGGACTTCGGCGATTCCGGATTATAGATCATCAGTTTAAATCTGGTAAGATGGCATGCAGAAATTACAAAATTAAAAAATATGAAACCTTAATTTATGAAATAAAGAACAATTATGATCTAAAGGGTATCAAAATTGACAAAAAGAAAAAGCTTAATACTTATTTGTTTACTTTCTTTCAATGTAAGTTGTTTAAGTTGCTTCCTTACATGTGATAATACTTTCTCTTTAATTCTATTAAACAGACAAAATTTCTTGTTAGTTACAAAGTTCCGCTGTTCAAGTCCTATAATTGCTGTGTCGAGAATACCGACTAATTTGTCAATCGAAATTTTTTCGTTTTCAATAACCTCTCTGTCACTTTCTTCACTATCGGAAGCGAATTATAATGATGAGGAACTTGATTTAAATCATATCAAAGACGGAGTACATCGAGATGAAATACTACATTTAGTAAGGAATTATAAGCCAAATAAAATAAAAACATCTGCCCTGAAGATAAGGATAGTGCTGATAGATCAACTTCCAATTCATTGCGCGCCGCGACGTTTCTCTCCCTCCGCAGAGCAGCGTAAAATTGATAAACAGATTTTGGAATGGTGAGATAAACAAAGGATATGCCTTTATCCATTTTTTGCAGCAATTCCACTTTTTGTTTAATGGACTTCAAAACATACTTTCACTTTGTAGATCCTTTACATATTAGTAAATATATATCAGAAATTCTATTTGACATAATCGAAAGTTCAAGCTTACTTTTATAAAATTGCTCTAACAGTCTACAAAAAATAATAAGCCGGATCCAGTTCGAAGATTAAGAAACAACGCAATCTGCAACATTAACTGAATTAGGTAATTTTAGCTTAGCTTATACCATCTGTTATACATTAAAAGCGCATGCGTAAACGTATTACGTGCATGCGTACACGCATATTCGCAGTTGTAAATGTCTTATGCGCACGCGTAAACGCGACGCATGCGCAGAAAGTTTGTAGCTTTGAGGTCCGGATTATGTGCGTCCAAATTAACAACTTTTGACTGTACCATTTTGTGAAGCAACCTCAGTACAGTACAGGTGTAGTCAAATTTTGGTACAGTGGTTCTTACACACAAACAAATACATCTGTACAAGATTCAATTTACGCAACAGTTAAGTAAAAATGACTCCAAGAAACAGGTCTAATTTGCAGTTATAATCTAAAGAGCAATAACCTGTAAAACTTGTATTCTTATGGTAAATTTTGTTTAATACAAATGTTTTTCCTGAGCTTACCAGTGGTTGGAAAGATACAACTGTTGAACACTAACAGTTTGCCCTTGGTTCAAATCTTGAAAATGGATAGACTAATGATATTTTCATTGTTTTTCACATGCATGATATGAATTTGAACCAGTTTTTGTTAAAAAGTAGTCTTACACAAAGGCATTCCTTCCTTGGCAGATAGCTCTTGCATGCCTTACTTAAAAATGAACTATTTTAACTTTATCAATGCTGAAGTTAATAAAAACAAAACCACAAAAAGATATTGTTAACAACCAAAAATACTGATGTAGTTTAAATCCAATATAGATAGATGCACCAAAATTGCTAGTGATGGCAAAATTATGAACTGAGATGTCATTTGAAACAATGGAAAAATTGATATGGATCCTATTCTCAATGATAATATACTAATGAGTGCAAAATATTTACAAATCTACCAGGATATGTTTCCATTCCTTTTAAGTTTATTATGCATACATTCCTATAGTACTTACACAGCAATATGTTAACCTAGTATATTTTATTTAAGTAACTATATTAATAACTTCAAAGACAATATGGTCAAGCTGATAGGAATCATGAACAGCCCTCAGATCATTTGATTTAACCTCTCTATATTTCTAACCATGGAGTTATCAGAAGAAGTCTGTCTTTCACTTGTAAGCCACTGAAAATGTGTAACTTTAATCACCTTAGCTTTCTGAATAGCATGACTGTTTTAGATCTGCTCTTGAAGAAATTATATTTTAATGTAATTTATTATCAAAATTTCCATAACTGATTTTTCAATTTTATTTTCATAAACACTTTATTAAGATAATATATGGATTATTATAAAAAATAAGAAAATGTAATACTTAAATAATAACATATAATTTAACAAATGATGGAAAAAATCTCATGACTGGATAAGAATATAATGCCATTCAAGGAAAATCCTTTATCGACACATTGGTTTAGCAGATGTATTAGCCCAAATCCATGAAAAGTTGAAAAAATTACTGTTTTCCAACAAAACTGTGAACATGCTCACAATATGTTATAATCACAATGCATCTATGCACCATTATTTATTAAATAAATAAAGGTATTAAAAAACTAACTACAGCATTCCATTTTTGACAAAATTTCAGCTTAACTTCGTGTGTCACATACAGCTTTCCCGTTTAAAAATCTCAAAACAAAATTCAAGATGACCATCTTGAAAACAGTGGTGATGGAACTCTTATCTTAAAATCCTTCTATTCATCAGCCATTCCTAAATATTTAGTTTTGGTTTCTGTAATGGTTTGTGAAATAGACAGGTAGTTTTATGTTTATGAATCAACCTGTATATTAATTTCTGTATAAAAACCCATTCAAGATTGAATGCTTCCAGATTACAAGGTATTTCAATGTCTTCTCTCAATTAAAAAGTATCAACAGAAACTAATTCTACATACAAGTTCCAATACTGCAACTTTTAAGCAAAAAAAGATTAATGATATTAATATGTGAAACATAAAAAAGTTCTGGAGTAATTAATAATCAATAATCTAAAGCAAACCTCAATGTCTTTAAAAGATAAAAGTTCAATATCAGACTCTTCAGCTTTTTTCTTAGCATCACCAGAAATGGGATCAACTTGAATGATGAGTTTTAATGTCGGCATTTCATTTTTGTCATTTATCAGAGCTAATGATCTTTCTTCTTTATCACAAATAACTGCTGCCATCTCAGCTATAAAAAATAAATATAAATTATGCCTTTAAAATTTTCAATTATAAATTTTAAAATACTGACATGGGCAATTTCATCTCTTAATGACAATGTAAATGACACCACTTACGGTGGCAGAAAAAAGTATTTGAACAAGGTTCATTTAGCATAAAAATGATACTGCTAATAAATCAAAGTTGAAATTTATTTGCACGAAAAAGCAAAAACTGAAAATGATAAACATTTTAATTCAAAAACATATGTTATGAAAGTAAGACTACAGTTTAAAGAATTTGGAAGGAGAAAAAATATTTGAACATAGCAAAAATCTATAAACTTTGTGAAAAAGTAAAATGTAACACTTGATTAAAGACCCCTTATTATCAAATACAGTTTGCATTCTTGCTGGCACAGACTAAACAAGTCTGTTTGTTACATTGGATGAGAGATTTTTCCATTCATTGAATTCTTCTGAATTCATTTTCATCTGAAAATTTATGGCATCTCACTTTCTGATCTAAGGGGTGCCACTAATTCTCTGCTAGATTCAGAACAAGTGAGTGGGGAGGTTTTCCTAATCTACTGGGAGCTCTGTACAACAGCCATTCTTTAGTCACCTTTAATAGTGCTTAGGGTTGTTATCTTGTTAGAACCAGAAATCATTTTGTAGACCTAACTCCGACACATTATCAAGTAAGTTATCTCGTAAAAGGTTCCCATATTTCTCTGCATTCAGCACACCATCAATGACAGCCAATTTACCATGTCCACTACAAAATATAATCTTTAACCAGAATACTTACTCTTCCGTGTTTTATTGTTGAAACCTCATTTCAAGAAATTGAAGCTTTTCCACGTGGCATGTTTCCAAAGTTCCAATAATTGAATTATAGTTCAATTTCTAGAATTTATAGGCAATACTAATGGCCACAGACAGGTCTTAACATATTTATGCAGCTATACTATTCAGTCCAATTCAGTTGCTTACCTAACACATGTGCATTTTTTACAGCACTCATTTTCCAGCTATGGAAGATGCAAAGAGAAATAATTTTCTCAGAAACTATTCAACATCTGCAAGGAGTATTCTTTTCCCACATTCGAAAAAAATCTTTACAGGATATTCAGTCTGAGACTTTAACCATGTCATAAGGAGAGAGAGGAGACACTGAAAAAGTTCTTTGAGGATGGCTTACAAAAAGTTTATATTCAATTAAATGGGAATTATGTTGGGAAAACTTCACTGTAATATTGAAAAAGGCAAAATAAAAAAACTATACTTAAATTCCTAGAACTTCGCAAAATTCCTATGTACTTTTCTTGCAAACCAATTTTTTGCTGTCAGATCCAAATAAGTTAAACTTATTTTTATCACTGAATATTATAGTTTTAAAAACATCTAGAGGTTTTTTATTATATGTCTTTGCAAACTGTAGCCTTTCTCCCTATTTGCTTCACTAATGAAGGGCTTCTTTACTGCTTTTCTACCATATAACTAAGTTTATGTACATAATTTTCTTACAGTATGTGATATCACAAGATTATAAGAGCATGATAAGCATCATCTATCTGATTAATAAAGAGATTTCTTTTACCAGATATTTTAATAAGCCAGTATTTGGTTAACCAGTTCACCAATATTTGATTAACCAGTAAGCTAACAGGGATTTGGGTTAACCAGTTCGCTTACAATTTTTCACTTTTTTACTTGATGCCTACTCCTTAAATTGACTATTTTGTTACAATCCTGTGCATACAAGTCTTGTTGCTTTTCACAGATTGCATAATACAAATTTTTAATTGAAAAATTTTTCTTAAAATATAAGTACAAATTGCCTTTCCTCCATCTTTCATTCATTTATTTAACTGATCAAATTTTATTATGTGTTTATCATCGGTTGTTCAGTTATGTTTTTCCATATCAAAATTCGCATATTCCTGCTTCCAATGTTCCAATACATATCTCAGTGGAATTTTTTCATTGCTCATTTTAATTGAATTGCTGTGTGTTTCTCCACCAACATTAATTTTTTATTTAACTTATTAACAATAGCGTTAGTGCTTAAAGAAGCTCCTTCCAAATAGTTTTTTCTGTCACTGTATATGCAAAAAGAGGAAGAAATTAGTATAAGAAAAATTGGACAAAACTTTTTTGTTACTGCAGTAAATTTTCAGTGTATTCAAGCTTAAAATAACAATAAATACTATAATAAACAGATCTAAGCATTACCTAATTAATGTAAAGAAAGATATCTGACCTTTCTCTAATAATCGCAAGCTATTATGTTATTAATTCGTATACTTTGGAGCTTGTGCTTTTTTATGTTTAAAAGTAATGCAGTAACTATAATTAGAAGCCCTTTTTCATAATCATTAGTTTCTATGCTTATTATTTCTTAAGCAAAAATATATGCTCTTGTACAAGGCAATCCTAGGCTTTGTGCTGCCCCATACAAGCTCTGAACTTCTAAATTTTGTTAATTTTTCTTATCGCACCAGCCGTTTTGTTATATTTTTATATAAAATTAATGTTGGTTGATTTTAATAAATGGATTATCAGGAAAAAATTATACCTTACCTACATTTTGATTATAACCAAGAAACAATATTTCTTTAAAACTTCCATGAATTTGCATTTTATAGATTTAAATAAAACAAAAATGCTATTTAATGAAAATTATTTTTTATACCTCAAGCATTTCAGTCACATGCAAAAATTTATTCATGAGTTATTAATATATATACAGTCAAAAGTCGTTAATCCAGACTCGTCGGGACTTCGGCGATTCCGGATTATCAATTTTTCCGGATTATAGATCATCAGTTTAAATCTCGTAAGATGGCATGCAGAAATTCTAAAATTAAAAATATGAAACCGTAATTTATGAAATAAAGAACAATTATGATCTAAAAAGTATCAAAATTACAAAAAACAAAAAAAAAAAAAAAAGCTTAATATTTATTTGTTTACTTTATTAAACATTTCTTTCAATGTAAGTTGCTTCGTTTTATGTGATAATACTTTCTCTTTAATTCTATAAACAGACATAATTTCTTGTTCAGTTACAAAGTTCCGTTGTTCAAGTCCCGTTAATTGCTGTGCCGAGAATACCGACTAACTTGTCAATCAAAATTTTTTCGTTTTCACTAACCTCTCTGTCACATTCTTCATGTCTTTATCCATTTTTTGTTTGTTGGACATCGAAACATACTTTCGTTTTGTAGATCCTTTGGAAGTTCCAGCATCGGAAATTCTATTTGACATAATCGAAAGTTCAAGTTTACTTTTATAAAATTGCTCTTACAGTCTGCAAAAAAATAATAAGTGGGATCCAATTCGAAGATTGAGGAACAACGCAATCATTAACATTAACTGAAATAGATAATTAGAGCTTACACCGTCCGTTATACATTAAACGCGCAGGCGAAAACGTATTCTGCACTTGCGCACACGCATATGCGCAGTAGTTAAGGTCTTATGCGCACGCGTAAAACGCCTGTGCGCTGTGCGCATGTGCCTACGCGGCGCATGCGCAGAAAGTTTTTAGCTTTGAGGTCCGGATTATAGATCATTCCGGATTATGGGTGTCCGAATTAACGACTTTTGACTGTATATATGTAAGAGAAATAAAGAATACATAAAGGTTAAATTAGCAGTGCAAATTAATTTTCTTCTCTATTCTAAAAATAGTAATCTCTCTACACTGCGACATTTCGAGATTAATCCATTTTATACGACTCTTACATAATAATGTAATGTAAATGGAACTAAAACAGCCATGCATTGAGAGCCAAAACTAAATTCAGTGTGAATTAAGCTTTTCACACTAAACATAAAGCACTTGCTTTCTATGCTGGCCTTAGATGGACTGCAGTCTGTCTGCTCCTTCTATCTTACTGAAAATTTATCTATAATGTAAACTTTTTGGAATAGGCAAAATTAATGTGCCAACTTGATTGTGGCCACAGTATGTTAACTAAAATAAAAGTTGAATTAAATATACCTCGACTACCAAATTTTTATTCATTATGGATCAGCGTTTCAGCATTCTACAACATCAAAATTCTCTTTGTTCATTACAGATTCAACTGCCTGCATTCTACTACAGAATCTTATTACATATACCTATCAAAACATACAAAAGCATAAGCTCTGAAGTAATTTATTTCATAACAGCTTGCTTTTATTATACATGATCATATATGAGTTATTTACATATAACCATTATCATTTTATTTTAATTACTTAAATTTAAATAAAAAGTATAACAAAAAATAATGGAAATATTTAGAAAACAGCTTTTGCTCATTTCTTTTATTTGCAATAAACATTAAAATAAAAAATGTCAAATATTTGCAACAAATTTATAAATAATCTTTATGATTTTTCTTGAACAGGTTACATGATTTAATTCTTCAAATACTGCTAAAGTAAAAGCTCAACTCTGCGAAAAGCTTGGGAAACGACAAATTCTGGATAACTGAGTAAAAAAATGCAATTCACAGTAGAAAACCCAAATGAATGGAAGAAAAAAATTTCCAGTTTAAAATTATAAAAAGAGCCATTTTATTTGTTATCAACTTGAATATCAAAAGTCTACATTTAAATTATGTGAGATTCTGAAAGAAAAGCATTATAGACATTGCAGCATTACAGGCATAAATGTGGAAGTAAAACACCTTATTCGATTTCTAAATTCATTCAAAACAAATTTCCTTGTTGCTCCCTTTAGAAAATTTTCAGTAAAATTTTGTATTCTTGCAGAAATTTTACTACAGTTTCATCCATTTCCGACAAATTCCAAAAGCATATATTTTAAAACTAAGGCAAAAAAAAAAAAAAAAGTCACAATTGTTTTTACAAAAAACATTGGAACTTGGAATACAATAAAAAAGAATGCATACGAAAATAGCATCATTGCTTGACTGAAGGATTTTTATGAGTATGGTTGCTGGAAGAATAGTTATGTGTATGGCTGCCAGAGTTTGGCAAATCCTGAAAATTTGGTGACTTCTACTAAGGTTGTTGGTTATGTCAATACACAAGCACCTCTGATCTGCACTGCAAAAAAAAAAATGTTTATTTCGTTTCAATGGATTCTAAAGCAAGTTTAATATTTAGTTTTAACTTGAAGCTATTCAAGCTGTTTGTTTATAGGATTTATTCTCTTAAGAATATCTTGCCAAATCATCACAGAGGAAAAAAATTAAAAGTCTTTAATTTTAATACATTGATTTTTTGCTTCATGTTATGCTGCTTTAATAAAATTGTAACTTGCTGTTGTATAACAGGCATTATCTACTAACACTGAGACGAAAATATACAGTCTCTGAAATTATTTCTGGTGTTCAAGAGTTTGAAAATATACATTAAGAAAACAGAGAAATGCAGTAGGATTTTATAAGACCAAGGCAGTCTAGCAGCAGAGACTCGACAGGAGCCCAGAGAAATAAAGGCAAAAATGAAATAAAGATGAAATAACATGGATAATTGTGGTGAAGCATTAAAATTTGTATAATATAAGATCTTAGACTATATGGATGAATAAACTGAGCTTAAGTTTAATGCCATTATAGCTTTGCACAGAGCTGCTGTGCTGTTCAATAACATGATTCTAATGAAAGGAATATAACTGATGTTTTCACAATGAAAAACTGAAAATATACATCTAGGGCCAGTATTATACTTTCCACCATCTAGGTCTTTCCTGCTTCTAAATTTTACCACTCTGTGCTGCCACAATGACTCTGGCACCTTTCCTAAATATACATAAGTTTTATAACTAAAATTTCATTCTAAAGATATTTGTACCGAACACAATTTCTAGCATTACACATCTTTCCATTTTAATTATTTTTTGAATATTTGCTTACAAGTGCTTAATTATTAATAAAAATCCATGTGGTTATTACTGTCAGAGTCCTTTCTGGATGGTGCCTGCCTGAACTGCAGGTCTTGTTGGTCCACTTCTGCTGGGCCTGAGTTGCACTTTTGATGCCAAGATCCTATAATTACTCTAATGCATGCTGTTTGGCTGAAGACAAGTCCCGGGTTTTAATCTTTTTTTCAAAATGCAGTTGAGATACAGATAAATAGGAGTTAACTTATTTCCACTAAATTGCATTGCTTGGGGATAGTTTTCGTATGATTCAAATTGCAATCCTAATCTTCCTCTATAACGGTTATAAATGTCTTAGTTGCTTAGTTTTAGATTAAAAAAAAAAAAAAAAAAGACTTTTGAAATTCAAAAATATTCTAATTACTTGAGGTATTAAGTTAGTTGAATGCCTGCATAGTAGGGCTTTTACTGTATTACAATTTATTATTCAAAATATGATGAATTTTACAAACTTTAACATTTCTAGCATTACAAAAGCACAAAATTTCAATGAGAATAATGCAGTTAATAAGTCACAAATACAAAAAAAAAAAAAAAAAAATAGTTACCTTCATTTACAATTAAAGTGAATGCCTTAGGTCCTAGAGTATCATAAATAGGAACAATGGCCATAGACCGGCCATAACATGCATGTTCTGTTAAAATACACTAAAAAGAAATATACATTAAATTTACTAGTAATAAAAGAATCTTCACATACTCTAATAAGCATTTTACTACAAATACAACTCAATATTATCCTGAAAGTAAAAAATTATGTAATAAAAATAAATGAAGCTATTTACCTCAACATTATTTGCAGAATATATACCAACAAATAAACCAGGTTTTAGTTTTTTCTGAAGAAGGCCTGCACCAAAATTTTTTGCTCGCTCAATAACCTATGTAGTGAGGGAAAAATAGAGCTTTTCTGTTAATAATAAGAAAAAATGAAATCTAATCATGTAAAAGTTAATTACATAAAAAAAGTAATTTAGAATAAGAATTTTACTCATTAATAGCCTTAAAAATATTGGGCAGAGAAATTTCCCATTTCATTTAAAAATGTCAAGTTTTTAAATTGGTATTTTCTGATTATCAGCATCCCTACAAAAAAAATCACTAATGAGCATTAAATGAGCATTGGTAAAAAAACCTCTGTTTGACTCCTTTAAACCTCATAGGTAGTGTTTCATTCATAAATAATAATAAAAACAAGCATTTTTATAAAAAGCAAAGAACTTTATAAACAGGGGGAAAATACATACAACTGATATTTACATTTTTACAACCAGTGTATAGTGTTCTGTGAAATAACCTATAAATAAAAATGTGTAAATCATTAATAAAAAGTGTATATCCCAGTATGCACATGTGTGAGTTGGCTGTTGACATGTGTACATCCAAAAATGTGCAAAAGACAAAAATTCTACTGAATACTAAAACCAAGAGTACAGATATTTAAAAAGCACTGAAAAATTTTATGTTTAACAAATCATCACAACAAAACTTACAGTTTAAAATTCCACAAAATTCAGCATAAAATTTAAATAAAAATTAAAGTCTCAATTATGAATAGATGACAAAATTAAGTCTTAGTTTAAAAGAATATAAAATTGAAATTATGTTTATTAAATCTAATGTGATAGTTTAAATTTAGACTGGAGTAAAAATTGCTGTGTTACAATATAAGAAGTCCATTTTTATTGAAAACATATTTTAACTAATTCAGAATTCAAACAACAAAAATCAGCGTTAATTTACAAAATTTTCACAGGACTAGTTTCGATGGTTTTACCGAACCATCATCTTCAGCTGCAAAACCGCAAAATTGCGGTTTTGCAGCTGAAGATTTTTACATTTTTACATAGACTTGACATTTTTAAATGAAATGGGAAATTTCTCTGCCCAATATTTTAAGGCTATTAATGAGTAAAATTCTTATTCTAAATTACTTTTTTTATGTAATTAACTTTTACATGATTAGATGTTTTAAATTGGTATTTTCTGATTATCAGCATCCCTACAAAAAAAATCACTAATGAGCATTAAATGAGCATTGGTAAAAAAACCTCTGTTTGACTCCTTTAAACCTCATAGGTAGTGTTTCATTCATAAATAATAATAAAAACAAGCATTTTATAAAAAGCAAAGAACTTTATAAACAGGGGGAAAATACATACAACTGATATTTAGCTTCTTCAGCTGCAAAACCGCAAAATTGCGGTTTTGCAGCTGAAGATGATGGTTTGGTAAAACCATCGAAACTAGTCCTGTGAAAATTTTGTAAATTAACGGTGATTTTTGTTGTTTGAATTCTGAATTAGTATTTATTCGGCGTGTTATTGTGTCTTAATATTTTAACTATTTATAATACTTGTTTACAAACAACATTTTTCATTTTGTTATCTGGGGTATATATGTATACAAATTTTTCAAATTTCCTACTTGAGAGCAAGCTACATACATCTGAACCATGAGAAAAGCAAGAGACTTTGAGGTTGATGCTGCAATGCTTTAAAGTGTGTCCTTGTGCTTTGTTAATTGTAAAACTATAAGCTAATTTGATCGAAAGCTGCAATCTTTTAAATTGGAATGACAGTCCAGTAGATATCAGTGATATTCTAGGGATAAGTACTGTGCGTTCTTTGTTCATACCAGTCATAAGTTCGGCTTTGATAACGTTTATTTGACAGCTATTTGACGACCATACTTGTTCCATTACATGGTTTTGGTGAGTTGAGATTTCTGAGTAGTAACATCGGAGATCCAATTTTTAGTCGAAGGCAGTGTAATGGCATTCCTGGTACTTGCAAAGAGTTTAAAATTTCTGTGAGGAAGTTAACACTTTCTTCAACAGTTACTACCACGTCAATGGATTTGTATACTCTCTTTTCACCAGGAGGGCCATCCATAGAAAAAAAGGCTTCAAATGGTCCACAATATTCCAAAACATTCTACAATATTAGAGAATGATCTGGGATGTTTTTAACCATTCTGAACTATTCCCAAAGATTCCAGAATGTTGAGGAATGCTCTCAAATATTCTGGAGTGTTCCAGAAATTTCTAGAGAGTGAAACTTCCAGCCCTTATATCTTCAAAAGCACGCCCTTTAGGTAAAAATAAGGACCTTCTTCATGGATGGGGCATAAATGGCTACCATGCCTTCATGGCGGGCTACCATGCCATATAGCTAGCTCCCTTATCATACCACTGATACTCATCACAGGACTCGTTTCTGAGTTTTAGTGGCACGCACATTGTACACTTACTTTTATAATACATACTGATTATTAAAGGGAAAAAAAGTCTCCTTATCGACAAAATTTAATGTTTGCTAATCTAAACTACTAACAGTGTAAGTATATAATAGTATTATTTGAACTTTCAAAGTACTATACAGATGTGATATTTAACAGATGTAATAACTTGGCCACTACAGCTAATAACTGAAAACACCTGTTTTAATACCTCCATTTCTCTTCAAATACTCTAGAAGCTGTAATCACTGTGTGTGCTTATTGTGTCTATATTAGAGTAGGCAGGGAGAAAAGGATAAAACAGAACACAGTTTGGATTCCTATTGATAAATTGAATAGATCATCCATAAAAATACCTACAAAATATGATGCTTTAACACATTTTAAAATGTATATAATTTAAACTTCTATATACTGTTTATACATAAACAATGTGCTAAATGTGCCAATTCATCATTTTCTTATTTTCTAATGAATATATCACGTTTCTCTTCAAGAATAAAGTTTAATACTAGAAACAAGACACCAAACTTGCACTTGTAGAATTATTAAATGCAAACATTCAAAGTTAAAAGTACCTTTTTGTAACTAATCCACTGATACTCATCACTTCCTTTTTCTCGCCATCCTAAGCATGGACCATCACCTATAAAATATTTTATATTAATTTATAGCATTTAATACTATGTTTTATTACACAGTGTCTGAAATTACTCTTTAAAGAGATTTACTGAAAGAATGAAGTATTTCTTACATGCCAGCTGAAAATTACGAAAGCAAATAAAAAGTTTCTGAATCACACACTAAAAGTGCCGAGAAGAATATGGAAGATAACATAGTGTTATTTTATTTATAGTAGTGGGGAAATCTGTACTCAAGACACATTTGTCAAACAAAAATAAAAGCAGATTCCAGAATTCTAGTTTTTACAGTATAAAAAAGAGAAAAAAGAAAGACAGCAATAAAATATAAATATTTAGAAGTCAGGAAAATGTACTTGTAATTAAAGTTAGTAAAATGAATTTTCCTCTTAATTCTCAGTTACAGCATTCTACGTTCCTGAAATAAGATCTCTCCTTCAAATTAACTTTGAAAAAAATCCATATTCTTGAACTCTTCTTAAAATTAGCATAAGCCTGAAAAAATTATACAATTCTCATAAAAAAAACCTTAAGCTAAAATGTAACACAAAATATTATATTAAAATTTTAACTTAGTATATAAACCTGCAGTTTAAGTGTTTATTTCATGATGCCTTTAGTATATATGAAATGGACCTAAGAATGCAGAAGATTAAATACAGCAGAAATAAAGGACAGTGAACTATAAAATCTTGCTGAAATTCTTCCAAAATTTTTTTCTCTAGTACCAAAACAAGATATATTAAAGCTCTTCTCCTCCATCATGCAAATTACGAAGAATTAAGACATTGCTTTCAAGCTGCTCTAGCAGTGTGAAGGTTAGTACTTCGAACCAATTATTTAAAGGTACCAAAACTTATTTTTCAAAATTCCTTTACAGTATGCTTCATTTTTTCCACATCTGGTGCCCAAACAAAACAAAAAAAAAAAAAAAAAAAGTGAACAGTAATTTAGTCATCAACTTTGAATAGTTGACTGGGACTCAATGCCTCCCTTAGATGCCTTTAGATGGGAAAACAGAATTAATACATTTTCCCTATGTGCTCTAGTGATATAATGCCCTCATGTTAAGCTCCTTGTGTATCAAGTCAATTATTGAAGTACCTCATATCTGGCACAGGAAAAGAACACAGTTAATTTTTCAAAACTCTCCATTCTTAATCTGCTTCTCTCTTTTCTACAAAACCAGGCAATCACTCAGCAAGGTGTACATGCAGAGTTACTTATGCAGATAGGTCTGACAGCAGAACTAGCCCATATTCTGTATTTTGTTAACATTCTCACGACATTTACTTCCTCCTGAAAGTCAAAAAGATGGCGTAGCAATTTTACAATTAAAAATGCACAAAAGCAAATAGTTTCGAATGAAGATTTAATACATATATGAAGTTATTTAATACATATATAGAAACAAGTCACATTAAGTTCTTCAATAAAATAATTTCTTTTATCTCTGGAACCATCAGGATCAAGTCTGATCCACAATTAATACTAAAATGGTTATTACAATCTATTTACAAGATCCAATATAATATGTGATCCAGAATGCAACTTACATGTTGTTTTAGTATGTGGATTTTCTCTCTCGGTAATAAATCCAAAAATATTCAATAAGTCCGACTTTCAAAAAAAATCCAAGGTGAAACAAATAAAACAAGACACTACTCGCATATTAAAACAGAAATGTTGGTAAGAATCTAAATTACAAGGCAGGAAAGACTATGTGCAGACATGATGTGCAGATAGAGTTATGATAAAGACTATCCTATGGAGCTATGGTAAAGACTATAAAGACTATTCAGCTGGGCACAGATACCTTTCAAAAGACCCCATAGTTACTTTTTGATCAGTTATTCAATAAATATTTAAAAAATGCATTGTAATTTCTTTTACAAATAATCTAATAAAAGCAAAATCTTTCCTTGATAATCGGTTGCAGAATACTGAGAATATGATTAAATGACAAGAAAACTTACCTGAAACTCTAGCTCCTCTTAACATGCATTCATAAAGGGTCTGAGCATCTTCATACAGATATGATACATGAGGAGCTTTTGGTGTCAGATGAGATATTCTCACATGGTCAGGGCCCTATAAAAATTGTTGCCTTTAAATACATTATAATCTATTATTTATATTTATATACTAACTGAAACCTGTCATGGTATTATCGAAACTAGCCTGAAAGTATCTCTCTTAACAGTAACTAAATTCTGAGGTAATTGTTAAATGAGGTTCGTGGAACCACTCAACTCGCACAAATTTGAAAGAGGCAGAATTCTTGAATCTAGTGCATAGGTGTTCTTTTGCACTAGTAATACAGAATTTCACTCGCATGAAATACACTCAGGTTCTGTCCTTCAAAGCCAATGTGGTCTTTCTCACCACACTTCTGATTTCAACCCATAGATGTTGCTACAAGCAAAGCCTCCACTAGGAATATTGAAAGCTCGGAACACCAGTGAGCAATAAATTCACCTCACTCTACAGACTTATACAGTGGTTACCCAGCCATGATAGAAACACACATCCCGTCACCTGGGGAAAAACTGACAAACTACAACACTCATAGTACTAATGACACCTTGCTCCACAAGTGTTCAATGGGCCCAACTAGCCCTGCCCAATGAATGAAGCTGAACTACACACCAACGCAAAGATCAATTGTTTCAATGCAAGGGCTCAAAATATGGCAACAAGTCACCCTTCCTCATCAGTGCAGACTGGGGGAGGGTATACAGCATCTGCACAGCCACTCAATGCTTGCAATTAGAAAGAGTCAAAATTCTTGAATCTAGCACACAGGAGCTCTTTGCAATTATGATCTAAAGGGTATCAAAATTTACAAAAAAAAAAAAAAAAAAAACTTAACATTTATTTGTTTACTTTATTACTTGTTTACTTTGTCAATGTAAGTTGTTTAAGTAGCTTCGTTTCTTGTGATAATACTTTCCTTTTAATTCTATAAACAGACGTAATTTCTTGTTCAGTTACAAAGTTCCACTGTTCAAGTCCTGTAATTGCTGTGTCGAGGAATACCGACTAACTTGTCAATCGAAATTTTTTCGATTTCAATAACCTCTCTGTCACTCTCTTCACTATCGGAAGCGGTACATTGAAACATGCTTTCGCTTTGTAGATCCTTTGGCAGCTCCAGAATTGGAAACTCTTTTTGACATAATAGAAAGTTCAAGCTTAATTTTTATAAAATTGCTCTAACAGTACGCAAAAAAATAATAAGACAGATCAAGTAGAAGATTAAGGAACAGCGCAATCTGCAACATTAACTGAAATGCCTTAGAATCAGTAAAGATAATTTTAGCGTAGCTTATACCATCCGTTATGCATTAAATGCACATGCATAAAGCATACAAAAAAAAAAAAAAAAAAACGTTTGTGGCTTTGAGGTTCGGATTATAGATCATTCTTGATAATGGATGTCCGTATTACAGACTTTGTACTGTATTATAAATATGTACATTACTAGAACATCATTTAGATAATTTAATAAAGTATTCATAACATCAAATAAAAGTGTGAAGTACCATATATATATATATTTCTTGCTTTGAAGAAAATTATATTAATCTTCCAGCTGGTGTACCTAACTATACCAATGTGAATGGTCGTGAGCGAATTTTTATAGATATGCTCTTGTAAAATTAAAATCTTTAAGAGTGGTGTTATTGAAATTATGTGGTAATTGATTAAAGGTTAATAAGTTTGATTTTTTCAACAACTTTTATTTATATTACTAGATTATTCCTTTATTTAAATAAAGAGTAACAATGCAAGTAAAAACATTAAAACAATGACCAAAGAATGGTAAAAGTATAGTTTAGGGTACCCCTTCGCGAAACTTGGTGATTTTTGACGGTACATGGATACGGATTTTGTGCAATTCTTTGACTTGTTATTTTGGCTTGCTAAGTGGCGATTTTTGCGCCAAAATAACAAGACAAACAATTGCACAAACTCGGTATCCATGTACACATCGTCTTATTTTCACTTAAACAAAATTCTCAAATTGCACAAAAATGGCATTATGCACTCCTTTGATTTTATCCATGTACACGTCGACCTATTTTCACTTAAAAAAAATATCCCCGAATTGCACAAAAATGGCATTGCGCACTCTTCTAACTTTAGCCATGTACACGTCGACCTATTTTCACTTAAAAAAATCCCAGAATCGCATTGTGCACTCCTTTTCTTTGTCCATGTATACATCGATATATTTTCACTTAAAAAGTCAAAGGAGCACCAAATTCTACAATATCGGCAAACAAAAAAATACATAATCTCAATAAAATATATTTTAAACCAAACAATAAAATAACATAAAAAAGGAAAAACATGTTATACATTTAAGCACTACCAAAAACAAATATTCAGTTACCATGATTTTCGAGTTCGCTTCGTACACGCAGAGCCACGTAAAAATCAAAATATCAATCACACTCAAATGGCTTTTTTCAAACCAGGTAATCTTTCTAATCGAACATTTCACATAGTGACCATCTGAACCTTTTGATGTACGTGTGAGTAACACGTGCATACGAAAATATCCCTAACATTAACTAGGAAAGCCGAAATCTTAGTTAAGATAGACATGTTACAATTAATAATCAAATTTAATAAGGAAAAGTAACAGTTGCCGGGTACATTATAACGGCTTAAGAAATTCAGAGCACAGTACAGATGCGAGTACACAAGTTTACATATCTCGGCGAAACCTAGACGCACACATTTGTTGAAGTAGTTCCACTTGACTGCCGGGGGAAAAATTCTTCTCTCTCCGTCAACCTGTAGGTTTGCCAAACGGGTTTACTGTTTCGCCAATTGGCGCTTTTGTCCAGAGTTTTGAGTCTGTATCGCCTTTTTGGCGCTGCCTCTACATACTCCCTCCGCAGTGTCAACGAAATGTGACATACCGCCGTGGGGTCGGATTAATTGTCCAGAACGGGTGATACCAATGTCTGAAAGTTTTTTTATATTCTTTGGAACTTGTGAAGAGTCCATGGTTAAAAAAGCGGGTTTCAATCTATCTATGGAAGATTGCTTGCTTAGTCCCTTTTATTTCGAGATCAAACTTTTTATCTCGTCGTTCTAGCACTTTAAATGGTCCATCATAGGGAGCTTGCAGTGGTTTTCT